CCTAATCACCAGGCCTAAACACCCTCGTGAAATTTAAAGGGTTGAAGCACAAGTTTGTTTATAATGTAAAAATGTTAATTTACTCAAATTCTACATTGTTAAGAAATAAATAATCAGTATACTCAATAGCTGTACTTCTTATATAAAACAACTTAATATAAAATTTTTTCTAAAAATTAATACTTTAAAAATGTTAACAAAACAGTTAAGATGTAATGATACAATGTATAGTGCCATAAAAAATACAATACTCAACTGTAGGTTTGCTCTTTTTAATGTATGAATATACATAACTTAAAAGCAAAATATTCATAATGAAAAAATAAGTAATTGAAAATAAAAAAAATGTATTTTTGTAATTACTTAAAAATATTCCACCCAACATGATATATTAATCAACAAATTAATCAGGACCTTGGATTATAACTGAAGTCGATAAGAATATTCATTCATTCTGGCTACTACTGCATATGCTTGCTTAAAATAGTCATATTACTTTCACTTAGCATTCTTTACTGAGAAATCATTCAAACTGAATATAACTATATATCATGTTATCAAGAGTTTTCTACTCTTAAAGGTAGGAATGTTTTATATGGTAACTAATTTAGTAATGAGCATCAGAGAAAAGTTAAAACAGAATTTAAAACTGCCTTTTTACTCGGTCTTACAGAGAATATTGTAATATTCACAATAATTATGGTACCATATCTTTACAGTTATTAACAGATACAGTACAAGTACAAACACAGCCCATATCATATATATGTGTTTTTGTATAATTTTTTGTGTTGTAAACTGCACTACATAAAAGTCAGTGAAATGAATACTGCAAATGCAGCAGCTGCCCATACACTTGATATTATGTTTGTTGTTTATAACTTTTGTATGATTTGGAATTGTTCATAGCACTACAAGCAGTGAATAAAAAGCATTTCCAATAAGTTATTTGTAAAATCATAAATATAACTGTATATTTTTAATGTTTGATTTTAATTAACATTTAGTAAAAATGCATAGTATGTATTATATCAAATTATTTTCAATACTAAGTCATGTATTGTGAAATGAAATTTGAAAGTTAACACCTTGTACTTTTGATTTAGCAGCTGTTTTTAAAAGAGTAAGTGAAAGATGCAACTCACCCATGATGCCATTTGTAATTGCCAATATTTAGTCAACAGAGAACCAATATTTCTGAAAATGTTTCAATATTTGAAGCTTAGGTGCAAATATAATTGTACTTATTTTTTGTAACATTTTTTTCTGATGCTGGTTTGGTACTTTTCAAGATGCAGCAAAATATGATGCTATTGCAAATGTGACTTCACCTCTGTTGAGTTACAAAAATTAAAACCTAAAACCAAAATTACTGGCTTAGCCACATGTGTGGTAAGATAATCTAAAACAAAAATAAGAAAAAAACATTATCATTTATCAAGGTAGCATTTTAGCAGCCAATGTAGAAATCATTATTGGTGAAGAATCCACATGCTTTTGATAGCAATTCAGGAACAATCAAGTTAATAATACAAGTCTGTTTTGTTGGACTTCCCACAAATTTACATGAGGCTATCTGTGCTAACTTTCCTTAATTTTGAACTGATAGGCTAGAGTGAAGACAGCTAGTCAACATCAACAACTGCCAGATCTTGTCAGACTAAATAGTGGGATTTGATTGTCACTCTTAAAATGCACCCATAGTCCCAAAGTGCAGCATGTGATTTTTTTTCTGTAACAAAGAGCAAATCAACAGATCCTCAGCTCCACAGTTTAGCATGCTAACAACTAGGATGCACTCAGCATATGGTAATTCAAGATATTACCTAGTTGAGTGGAGGAAAACATATATCTAATTATGTGTGTGAAGATAACATATTTAGCCTCATTAATTATACACTAAATTATTTGCTATAGTTCAAAAACAATCTGAAAATTTTATTTAATTACTACCATAGATTTCCATAAGTAATAAAAGGAGGATCTAACACCACAACTTTAGCTCAGGTTCTACAATTAACAGGACCAGTGCTTTAATGGCTACTGGCAGAGTTACCTGTGAGTCTATATTCGACTTTAGCCAATCTCTTTCTTAACTACTACACTGTAAGGGCATATTTCATGAAACACAGATATGAAGTTGAACACTTTACTTGAAAAACATAACCCAAAATTATAAGAATACACTTTGTTTTATAGAATGGCTTTTAACATAAAAAATTCTAAGTAACAAGTTTATAAAATCTGCACACTTTAGTCAAAAAATGTATTGCATAAAACTATTAACATAAACTTTAATGTTCATTCTTGGATATTTAATTTTCTTATATAATTATCATTTAATGTGTATAGGACATAGATGATCATAAAAAGGTAATTTATAAAATACATTTATATTTTAAGTAAACATTTAAGTACCTGAGCAAAATCTGAACATTTTGATTTAAATTTTCCAAACCTACCCTTTTTGTCAGAACACAATCTGGTTTATAATGCATGCAATCCATAATTTCACGTTGGTAAGCTAATGAAACTAAATTAAAAATAAAACTGAGAAGCACAAGTGTGTTAATGAATTGCTATGCTCTATGAGAATGGTCACACTCAGTGTGTAACAAGCAGGATATTGCCAAAATACACGGATTTCATTACAAAAAACTTCTTATAGTCAAACATGAATGTTAAAAAATCTCTTATCTGAAATTTTGTTGTATGTTTTGAGAATAAATATTTCCAACAAAAATCAAAAGAGCAGTCTGTGCCAAGATGCATTGGAAATATGCAAATTTCTTTGAACTTGTAATAATCAAATAGCACACTCCTAATACCACAAAATTTAGACTACATCTTATCAGTAATAAGGCTTACGTGAAGACAGTTGTAAGACTGCTTATATTTTTTCTTTCAGAACTTCAGCTTATCTGTTCTTGTTTTTCTGCATTTGTTAACTGTGCTGTATATTATAATAACTGGTGAATTTTTTGTGTTAACACTTTTCTAGAGAGGTAGTTCACATTTCCATAAAACATGTACACATGCTGAACATAAATTTCCTACAAGCTGTGTTTCCCTCATTAGTGGTTCAGGTTATAAACATGTTAATTCCAATTTTAAGTTGCACAAAGAAAACTACTTGTTTTATGAACTAACTTCCACACTATTGTTTACAGAAAAAGTGCTGAAAAGCCTTATGATACATTTCTTATTGGTATAGAGCCCCTATGCTAAATACCAATAAGAAATATTTCTCTCCCCTTCTTAAGTGCAGTAAAACATGTTCACTGTGGTTGGCTATCCTTGGGACTAACATGGATTTGTTTCATTTTTCATTTTCAGGTAATAAATAAGTCAAATTTATTTTACTGTGCAATTTTATGAAAAGTGTTCTACATTTAAAACTAGGTTATGTTAGCTTTTACCTGTATTTGTTTATTACAACAATTAATTGCTGATCCACTTTAATATTAAACGACAGTAAAAGCATAATTTATTTGAAAGTTTTTATCTCACTTAATTACTTGTCTACTTGAACAGACAGTTTGATTTTGCCTACCCTTTAACAGTTACAAGAATTTTCTCAGTAGCTTTTCCCAGGCTCATTCTTCAGGCACATGTGGTCCTCAAAAGTAACTTCAAGCACTTTATTTATACTTCTTGATTGATCAACATTAAGTGCTTTATTTCTAACTGTAAAATTTTTCTATATATCATGGCCAATAATCATAAAAAAATCATATACAATTGATATAGCACGTAATTTTTCATATAGCTTATATTACATTGGTTGCTGTTGGAACTAAGATGTATGTAGTTCCACATTTTATCCACAACTGAAATAGACAACAAACTACTGTCAATCTTCTGTTAGCTTTTATTAAGTATTATGTCCATATAGATCAGAACAAGATCTCTCATAACAAGTTATAAAACTTCTAAATACTGTAGCAATTAATTACATCACTTCTAAAACATTTTAGCTATAATCTACAACTTGGAAGAAATTTGCAGTAATCAATAATAGGTTTCTTGTTTTTTTTTAAAAAGATAATTTTTCGAGTAAAGAAACATTTAAATACAAAATGAAGTAATTTTTTACAGCTTTAATGCATTTCTCAATTTTTCTTTGGTATTACATCTTCAAGATTTCAGGAAGTATAAAGCAAAATATAGCATTATTCATCACATCATCCTCCATGGTTGAAGAAACTTGCATAATGTCTGATAACAGAGAAGCCTTTAATTTCCGAGATTTAATTAATGGTCTGCATAATTATGCCTGCTGTGCATTTATATCCTTTTTTAACTTCTAATAAATATCTTCATGGTTTCCTCTTGGTTTAGGTTTCTACGTTTTCGCTGAACAATCAAAAGAAATTAGTGAGCACAATTTTTTAGATAGTTTTTTTTATGAACAGTTTTATAGAGACAGTCATTGTTTGTTTTGCAAGGATGCACACCAGGTGAAACTTTATGACAAAAGAATCTCCATAATTTATGTTATATCATCATAAATGTATGATACAGAGGACCTCAGTGGAATCTAAGCAATTCAGTATTAAGAATAATGTACACGGGCTCTTATACTAGTCACATATCTTGATCAACCACAAATGGTTTATTTGGTCATTTGAAATATTCAATTCTAGGAAGTAAGCAAATACGTATACTTTGTGAAAAAAAAACAGAGAACTAATCTCCTTTCCATATGATAGCAAGTGGTACACTTCTACTGTGTATAATACTGAAAGTATTCTGATTCTCTTACTCACAAGACTAATTATAACATCTATTGACCTAGAAAATACTTGGGTTTATGCTTTTACCTCAAAATATCTTACTGCAGTTAACTGTGACCCAGATGTTAACTATTAGAAGTAGATAAAATTTGCCAATGAATGACAGAGGTACTAATTGTGCAAGTTTTGAAATTTGGGTTGTCAAGTAAATAGAAAATGAAAATTGATCTTCATATAGGTTTAAGTAAAAAAAAGGCTAAAAGATGGAGTAATCAATGTCTATATTAATAATAAAATAATCAAAAATATTTTTTAATGTATACTATTTTTCACTAAACTTCACTTCACTTCTAAAATATATATTCTAAATTCTCATTACCTGCTAGACTGTAGATACTTTATACCATGAAAGAGATAATAACAGTCAATCAATAAAATATTGTATCCACTTTAAAAAAAGTACAATTTGATAATTAAAAGCACCTGAAAGTTCACAAAAGCAAGTTTGAAATTTTCAAAAATACACTACATTTTAGTACTGTTATTAAAACAGAAACAACAATCTCAATTGTTCATTTTCTACAGTTACAGTTTAAAAATATACATGTGTTTTACATTTGAATTGAAACATAAAATTTCTACATAGCTCTGACGTTTTTAAGTTTTCAATTAATTAAAAATTATTTTCTTTAACCCCATCACCTAAATGATTTATATTTGTTCCTTAAGATGCCTTTGAAGAGTATTCCAAGCTTTTTCCACCTGTGCAAACAACAACAAAAAAAAACTACTGTCAAGATTAAAAAGTAATTGTATAAGATAAAATACAGCATTTTAAAATAAATATGTGTATAAAAGACAAAAAGAAAACTGAATTCTAAGCATTTACTATAGGCTTCTGTTTTCTCCTTTATCTAGGATCAATAAATTAAGGTATCTGAACAACATGAAATTTTTCTAATTTATTTGGTTGTGTGGCATAAAACTTCATAATGGGCTATCTGTAATCTCTGCCTACCACAGATATCAAAACAAAATTTTTAGCATCATAAGCCTGCAGATATAGTTAGCTATTGAGGGTTGAATTTCTTTAGAATTTTAAAACTTTGATTTCAATAAACAATAAAATATCTTGAAAACCCTTTCTCTGGTTTGATATTTTAATATATCATATGCAAAAGTCACAATTATGATTGAAACTTACATTTGTTTTAAATTAGAGTGTATTTAATGTAGTTCTGTAACTTAAAGACATAGTTCTATTTATTTTTTTATATTCCTCTCTGCCATAAACATATCAGAAAATGTGCTTGCCACATATAAAGCATTTGTAATTATCCATTAACCAAAAAACAAAGTGTATTTCAGCTATAAATATAGAAAACTTATAATCAAAGACATGAATCTTTACCTATTGGTCCATCTAGGCTGTCCTATCCTCTAAACTAAACTAAAACTATAAAATAAAATAAAACTTAAAGCCAGCCATTATCATTCATATAGTTATCAAGCTTTATCTTAAACACACTTAAATTTACTGCCTCCACAACATCTGAAGGCGACCCATTCCAAAAGCCAACCATCCTGTTTGAAAAATAAAACTTTTAGTTGAATATGATTCCTGCCTTGTCAAAGTTTATATCTGTGTCTCCTAGCAGAAAAAAGATGATGCACCAACACTGTCAATTCCCTTAACAATCTTAAACACATCAGTCAGATCCCCCCCAACTCTTCTTTTTTCAAGAGAAAACAATTTCAGAGATCTTAACTTCTCCTTGTATGACAACCTCTGCATCCCAGGCACCATTCTAGTATCTTTCCTCTGAACCATTTCCAACAATTCAATATCCTTCCTAGGTTAAGGAACCCAAGACTGAACACAATACTCCAAATGTGGCCTAACAAATGATCTATACAAAGAAATTATGACCTCTTTAGACTTGTATTCAATATTCCTACAGATAGAACCTAAAATCCTTTTTGCCCTACCACTAGCAACAGCACACTGCTTGGATGGCTTAAGAGACTGATCACCCATAACACCAAGATCCCTTTCTTTCATAACACTATTAAGGTTATTTCCATCCAAATTATACTTACAATTCAAATTATGATAACCCACATGCATTATCTTGCATTTATTATAACTAAAACCCATGTGCCATTTATTCGCCCAACTCACTATATGATCTAAACCCTTTTGTAAACAAGCAAATGATGCACAAACAGAAATACAGAAAAATATTGTAATCAATACAATTTTATATGCAGTAAAATTAGAACTTGTATATAAGAACTACATACAACTACACTTAACACAAAAGGTGTTTCACTTCTTTTGAATTTCACGCAAAGCCACACGAGGGCTATCTGTGCTAGTCTTCCTTAATTCAGCAGTGAAAGACTAGAGGGAAGGCAGCTAGCTATCACCACCCACTGCCAACTCTTAGGCTACCTTTTTACAAATGAATAGTGGGATTGACCATCACATTATAATGGCCCATGGCTGAAAGGGTGAGTATGTTTGGTAGGACGGGGATTTGAACCTGCAACCCGCAGATTGCAAGTTGAGCATCCTAACCACCTGGCCATGCAAGGCCCCAAAAAAAGGTATATTGCTATGAGATTAGAACATGAGACACAACAGAATTGATTGACACATTTCTAAAGAGCTGGTACAGCAGCTGAAAATGTGTATATTTTCACAGTTTAAGTTATTATAACCAGATGTACTGATAAAATAGGTCATTGCACAATTGCCATAGGGGTTATCTGAAAAGCACGACATCTTGTGACAGCCCACTTGATATGATTGCCATAAGAAAAGAGGGAGGTTACAACCACTCTTTCAGTGATGTATCGAGCAGCTATTGGCAAGGTTATGGAATGCATAAGATCATTAGTAAACACTGAACCATTGTGTAACTTTACACCTTGTCTTCAGACTACAATCAGGAACAAAAAGATATTTTGGAGTATTATCTGAAACAGAAATTTTTGAATGCAGCATCATCTATCCAAAGATATGTAAAAAACATCCAGGATGTTCTTAAGTTATAATCTCAAGTATCATGCCAACCTGCTGCGACTTGCAGATATTACACCATTTTCATTTAGTGATATTAATTTACAAATTTACAGACACTGTATATGTTATGCATATGTTTATACCTTCATTTATACATAACACACACACACATATACACAGTAAGTTTATTTTAAAAACATCAAATACTGTCATGTGCAAGTGCCATTCTACACGTGACTAGGAAAAGCATTAGTTGTAAAAATTTTTTTATAGCATTCAAACAATTTGGCTACACCATTCACTCATGTCTTATTGTAAATGCACCTTGTGAGTCATGGCAAGTTGCTAGGGATGTTGCAAGAGTTTCACCAAACAAAGAATAAGTAAGAACCTAAAAAAGATTCTACAAACAAATATTGCATGTGGCAGCGTACTCTAATGAGACAGTAGTAAGTCTACAGATTTACAATGCTAAAATCTGAGGTTCAATTCCCCATGGTGAACACAGCAGATAGCCAAGTGTGGCTTTGCTTTCAAACAAACAAAGCATGAAGCATCAGGGGTGTCACACAAATCAAGGTAAGTGGGTTAGGGTGTCATCAGTGAAAATCAGTTTGGAAACCAGTGTTGTACATTTTAGAAACAACACCTATTTCATGTTTATATAAGTAAGTAATATTATTTTAATACAAAATAGTACTTAGTTATACTAGTCTCCTCTATGTCCAGAAGATGCACAATTGGTAAGGCTACACATAAATGTACGTACCCAAAATAACTATTCATCTTGATAACTGAATTTTAAAAATTATATAAAACACAGACAATTAGAAACAAAACAATAATATTCCTGAAAAAAAAGGAACAAAAAAGATATTTTGGAGTATTATCTGAAACAATATCAATTGTCTCTAGCAGCATATGGCAATATGTTTACTTTTAGAAGACTAATATAAAATTTTTAATTTTTTATATTGATTATAACTGGATTTAGTCAGTTTGAAATGAATATACTTTGGAATATCGAAAAAAAAAACATTAATTATATTAATACACATGAAACCATTACATGTGCATCAACCTCTAAATTGTGCAAATTACTTACTTGCAATTGTGTATATTCAGGCTCCCACAATGTGGAGAAAACAATGTTTGATCCAGCCACTCTCTCTTTATTGGATATCTGAGAACGAATTCTCTGAATAATCTGCTCTTTAGGTAACTTGTCTCTCTCTTCCACCCTTCTGATAGCCTGCAATAAAAAGCATAAATATATTTTCTTGAACTTCATAAACTTTATTTATAACTGTATAATAAAATAAATACTTTTACAATTTACTTGATATTAATCCTGGAAATGTGAATTCTTGAAGCAAAACATAATATAATACAACTAGAATATATGAATTCATCACATTGATATCTAAGTGAAGATGATAAATTACTGAAACACAATTATTAATTAAAAATTTCTAGCAAGCCTATAGAGGTGGTAAAATGATCATAGACTGATATGCTAAACATAACTATCTCAGAATTAACATATCATATATTCTTCATGTAACAACCTTCAAAAGGTTTTATAGAACCTACCAGAAGGTCATAAGTTATGAAATTTTATTGTAAGTATTAATGTTTTTATTCCACACAAATGTTTCAGAAGCACATGCACCATATATTCGATATCAACATGCTTAGTATTTTAGTATGCAACTAGAAAAATGAAAAAAAGAATTAAATTTATTTCATGAACGGTTTTGTACTTATTTACCTTCATCTTTAAGTTTCATAAAAATAATTCAGAAATATCTTTATTTATGAGTGTTCTTCTGAAATTAAACATATGTTATACTGACTAACACCATCTTTATTAATGTTTTTTGCCTAAAAGCTTTTATAAAAAAAAATATTAATAGTTTAGTATTCTAGAATTATAGATATATATAGTATATAGAAGTCAATACCAGCCCAGAACTCAATGTAAAACAGTGAATTTTTGATATTGTCAAAAAGAAATAATTTGAAGTGTAAGATTGTATTTAAAATTTTCTCACTCTACTAATTACGAAAAGAAAAAGCCATTAAAACCGTGTACTTGAGAATTATCAAACCAGTGACTGAAATGTCATACCTGTTCAAAAAAATGTCCTTCTTTACTGTAAAAGCTGTAACTTGTAACAAAATAAAAATTGTTTAACATATTGTTTTTAGAAAAAAACAACAGACAACATAAATTTGATGCAAAACCTTTAGAATGTTCATTCTAGAATGCAAAGTGCACAAAATTTCAAGTATTTTTGACATTAAAAAAGTTTTAAAATATTTCATACATATACTTCATTTACTTTATAACATATGTGTCATATGCATACCTCTTCTTCTGGAATAATTGTAACCCACACTTGGTGAAATTTATCCTTCCATCCAGCTTCAAATAATAATACTACTTCCAAGACAATTACTTCTGCTCCTGAAGGAGTAAAACATGCATTTTAAAATTGGAAACATATTCTTATATATATACATTTAGTAAATATCACACGACATGCACTATTATCATAACCTAAAAGGCTCACACACATATAATTGCACATGGCTTATACTGGAAGTAAGTAAATAATTACACGTACCAACTGAAACTTGAAAAATTGCAGCAAATAATTTTTATGTAACAATTTGTTTAAGTTTACTATGACAATTATCGAAAAAATATGTACCTTGGATAGCATGTTTGTGAATTTCTTCTTCGATCAATTTAGCCACTTCTGGCCAAACTATTTCATTTAATCTGCTTCTCTTGTCCTGTGAAATAATATTTACTAACATTTATTTTTTATAAAAGTATATCTCAAATTCATAATTCAAGAGTTACATTACTATGAAGTAAGAAAACAAGAAACCTTCAAACTTTGTAATATAACCATGATATTGGGTTATATGTATTTTGTCAATCCTCAACACTTGTACAATATTAGTTTTTTTTAACTAGCTCAAATTTTTTGTAGTTTCTTTGTTTTGATACAGATAAGAAGGGCACCTGTTTTTCAAAACCCAAAAATTACAAGTATAAGGATTCAATAGATTCAAGTCTTTTCAATGACGTCAACTTTTTACCATAAGAAAATATTTAACGAAAAAACCTCACCACTAAATCAAATCAAAAAGCAATCCTAGTTTTTTAATGCTAACATGTTTGTAAATTCTTCTTAAGCTATGTGAATGCTTTAAATCATACCCCTTTATACCTTAATGCTACATTGTATGGTTAACTTTCTTTTTACAACACATGAAATACTTTTGATAGACTAACACATTCTGTGCTTTAGAAAATCAAAAACTTTTAATATAAAACTAACTAGCTTTGTTATTATTATGTTAATAAATGATAATTACCATATATTTTTTTCCTTGTGACAACATATTATAATTTTAATTTTACAGCACTTTATTCAACCTGGAATGTTCAACATTGATAAATGAGCTCTCTATAATCAAACATTCTTGGATTTTGTGAGAAGCACAAACAAATTCAATCATGTGATTGCAGAATAATACAACATCTTCAGCTTTGTGACACACCCTCTCTGACACATAACATGGTAAATCTCACTACAAATATTAAAACTGGGACGGGGCAATAATAGTAATTTAACCACTGTTTTTAGAAGCAAGAACCTTTTTCACAAGAGAAAAGAAATGCAATGATTAAAAATGTTGCAAAGATCAAAACAAGATTCACTTCATGATTCTGTTTCAGCAAGCTATAGTGAAGACTGGAAAAAACTATCCATAGTTATAAATTAAATGGAAAAGGTCTGGTAAAATCTTGTAAATGGAAATGGTAACAAGCATAAAATCATCCAATCCCTTTAAATATAAAATGTCTAAAGAATACACAAGATATGCCAATATCTTAAATATGTCAACATAAAATCCTATGACTGCTAACATTTAACACCTAATAAATGGTGATAACTTCTAGGAATGAACTAAATAATGCATAACAGATGGAGAAAATTATTGAGAATTAAATGTTTACAGTCCTTGGTAATGAAGCATGAACAGTTTCAAATGCAATCATGAGTCAAAAGTTGAAACTAATAAGCTTCTCTTCAACACATGATGATGAAAAACTAATGATAAATTGTTGCTAGCATATAGCATAAAAACAATATGGACTGTGTGAAGACATATATCAGGCAGCATTACTATTAATGCAAAATAATGAGAATAAATTAGCCACACACACAATAAAAAAAGACGTCAAATAAATACAAGTATTTATCTTGTCTGTTTTCTTACTCTTACTGTTTACTCAACAAATTAAAAAATAATTAAAATTGGTATGGATTAGCTATTACATCAGATATCTTCTCACTTGCATGATTCCAAGTTACCTGAAAATGTTAATTAGTCTTGTTTTTTTTTCACATTACATTTCAATAAAAAAAAAGAACAAAAACATTTTCTCAAAGTCTGGATTAAAAAAACACAAGGATCCACACAATTGTTTTATCCTGTTGAACTTTGAATTTGTTAAGTGTCTGCACACAAACAAAATCCAAGAAATTCTACAAGTGAGAAGTGTTAATGGCAAGTACCTACAAAAGGTTTTGCACAATACAGTGTACTTAGTAATGACTAAACCCCAATTTTTATATTTCTGTGTTTTAAAGCTACACTACCCACTGCAGACTGAAAGATTAAAAAATTAATTTATTGACATAAGCATTCCTTATTCTAATTTAAATGATTAAAAAACAATTCAATGGTTCAAAAACAAAGATGAAAATATTAATAACTCACTGTTATGATAATGCTTGGAGATGGCTTGAATGGGTAATAAAGAAAAACTTTAATATAAGTTTAACATAACAGCAAATGTACAACATTTTGACAAGGTTTTGTCATCATCAGGTACAAGTAGTTTACGCTGACACATATATATATACAGTATGGAACAAAGAGGTCACATGACTGGATACTGTTGCAAGACTTAGAAGAGATATCTTGGCACCCCAGGGTGTTGGTTTAGAGTAGGGTTGTTTTGTTCAATTAAGATAGATTCCTTGATTTTTTGTTTGGTTATGTTTGGTTCTTTGTTTAAAATTACTGTGTTTGTAATAGATATACTGTGTTTTTTGGGTTGCAATTGTGTTCTGTGAATACGGTTTCCAATTTTCTTCCTGTTTCTCCGATGTAGAATTCTGGGCAGTTATTGCATGTTATT